GCCCATAGCTGCCCAAATGGTCACTTTGGCTGCTGTGGGATCCCTGGTTTCTCTGTTATTGGGGCAGGAAGAATAAATTGTTATTATCCTGATTATGTGAATCAAGGACAGTGGAACTGTACTTGGCCTTTTGTTATGATGGAGGGACTCGCCATCACCTAAGTAGCACTCGCTAGGCAAGGGACATGGGTTCCAAAACTCAGTGAATTGAGAGAGGCTGAGAATAGGTATTAATACCTGGGGGTATGGGCCTTATATGCTAATTGCATTGCCTCCTCTCTTCATTGAGGAATATCAGAGCTAATTTTGATTCTATTAGGAATCTAGTTACAGGCTGCTGAGCTGAATTCACTTTGGGTTAATGGGGTACCAGAACTGAGGCTCCCCTACTACAAGCTGAAATCACAAAAGAGCTAAATTTACTAAGAGCTGAAATTGCTGAGTGTTGTGCTAAGTAGTGGGGGGCGTGTGAAGATATATCGCAGAGCAGAGCGGCTGGTGGGGTGGAGCAGTTTATGGGACGGCTGGCGCGGGTCATGGGGACGGCTGGCAGAGCAGAGTGATTTGTGGGACGGCTGGTGAAGCGGAGCCCCATGGACAGATGGGGCAATCAGCTTTGAACCACATAAGGTACCCCTTAACCTCTCCATCTCCACCCAGGTTGGGAGGTAAAACTGCAGATAAACTTTTGAACTCTGGTGCTGCACTGATCAGGGACAGAGACTTTTGGGTTGTTGGACTTTTGTGACTTTGGGTTGCTGGGCTCAAGAACCAAAGGGAAAGGACACAGCCCAATTTGCTTGAATCGGGTTTTTTTGCTCATGGGTTGTGTTATGAATCCTGTTGGTGGTGTTTCCCCAACATAATGTCACATTGTTTCTCTCTGTTATTAAAAGGCTTTTGCTACACTCAGACTCTGTGCTTGTGAGAGGGGAAATATTGCCTCTTGGAGGCGCCCAGCAGGGGTGGTATATATTTGTCCCAGGTCACTGGGTGGGGGCTCAAGCCGGTTTTGCATTGCGTTATTGGAATGATCCCCTAGATACTGAACCTGGCCCTTGTTGCTGCCAACTCTGATGGGCAGAAGGGTTACACCTGTGTCCCTGTTCACATCCCCCCCACCCTTAGCAAAACATGATGCCAATTCACCCAACCCATTCCCTGTTCCCATTCCCCCCTTACTTCCTGATTTACTGCAGACGATGTAGTAAAACTTGAGTTCTGCTTAGCTATACCGTAACAGATTTTACTGAAATTTAACTATCCAATCCTAACATATTGTAACATGATTATGTAACCAATTATATCCCACCACCTTAATTAGTTTATACCCAACAAAATTAATTATACAGCAGACAAACAATCACAGAACCAGACAGAGATTATACAGACAAACAATAGGGAAATGGGGACTACAGTGATAGAACAACAAAGAAATGAGGATTTCACATCCCAACTATTGATAATCAAGTTCTTGCCAGACAGGATGCTATCAAACTAAGTTTTCTTTTACATCTTCTAGGCTCTTCCCTTTCTCTGGAGGCGATAGGAATACAGTCCTGTCCTGATAATGCATAACAACCTAATAGCACTTTATTTCAGTGTGACTAGTTTGGAATGTAAAGATGTGACCGGTCGCTTCCCAGCTTATGGCTGCCTCTGCTGCTTAGCCAGAGGCCTTACCCTAAGAACAGGGCCTCAGACTGTCACAGTAAGAGAAGGCCCTTACACCGGCAGACAGTGATTTTGATTCTCTCTTTTATACCTCTATAACTAGCTAAGTGATAAGAAGGGTTTCTTCTGGTATGTTGGCAACAAGAAGAAAGCCAAGGAAAGTGTGGGCCCCTTACTGAATGAGGGAGGCAACCTAGTGACAGAGGATGTGGAAAAAGCTAATGTACTCAATGCTTTTTTTGCCTCTGTCTTCACGAACAAGGTCTGCTCCCAGACTGCTGCACTGGGCAGCACAGCATGGGGAGGAGGTGGCCAGCCCTCTGTGAAGAAAGAAATGGTTCAGGACTATTTAGAAAAGCTGGACATGCACAAGTCCATGGGGCCAGATGCATTGCATCCGAGAGTGCTAAAGGAATTGGCGGATGTGATTGCAGAGTCATTGGCCATTATCTTTGAAAACTCGCGGCGATGAGGGGAAGTCCCGGAAGACTGGAAAAAGGCTAATGTAGTGCCCATCTTTAAAAAAAAGGGAAGAAGGAGGATCCTGGGAACTACAGGCCAGTCAGCCTCACCTCAGTCCCTGGAAAAATCATGGAGCAGGTCCTCAAGGAATCAATTCTGAAGCACTTAGAGGAGAGGAAAGTGATCAGGAACAGTCAGCATGGATTCAGCAAGGGAAAGTCATGCCTGACTAATCTAATTGCCTTCTATGATGAGATTACTGGTTCTGTGGATGAAGGGAAAGCAGTGGACGTGTTATTCCTTGACTTTAGCAAAGCTTTTGACACGGTCTCCCACAGTATTGTCAGCAAATTAAAGAAGTATGGGCTGGATGGATGCACTACAAGGTGGGTAGAAAGTTGGCTAGATTGTCAGGCTCAACGGGTAGTGATCAATGGCTCCATGTCTAGTTGGCAGCCGGTATCTAGCGGAGTGCCCCAAGGGTCGGTCCTGGGGCCAGTTTTGTTCAATATCTTCATTAATGATCTGGAGGATGGTGTGGATTGTACCCTCAGCAAGTTTGCGGATGACACTAAACTGAAAGGAGTGGTAGATACACTGGAGGGTAGGGATAGGATACAGAGGGACCTAGACAAATTGGAGGATTGGGCCAAAAGAAATCTGATGAGGTTCAACAAGGACAAGTGCAGAGTCCTGCACTTAAGACGGATGAATCCAATGCACCGCTACAGACTAGGGACCGAATGGCAAGGCAGCAGTTCTGCAGAGAAGGACCTGGGGTGACAGTGGACGAGAAGCAGGATATGAGTCAACAGTGTGCCCTTGTTGCCAAGAAGGCCAATGGCATTTTGGGATGTATAAGTAGGGGCATTGCCAGCAGATCGAGGGACGTGATCATTCCCCTCTATTCGACATTGGTGAGGCCTCATCTGGAGTACTGTGTCCAGTTTTGGACCCCAGACTACAAGAAGGATGTGGAAAAATTGGAGAGAGTCCAGCGAAGGGCAACAGAAATGATTAGGGGTCTGGAACACATGACTTATGAGGAGAGGCTGAGGGAACTGGGATTGTTTAGTCTACAGAAGAGAAGAATGAGGGGGGATTTGATAGCTGCTTTTAACTACCTGAAAGGTGGATCCAAAGAGGATGGATCTAGACTATTCTCAGTGATAGATGACAGGACAAGGAGTAATGGTCTCAAGTTGCAGTGGGGGAGGTTTAGATTGGATATTAGGAAAAATTTTTTCACTAGGAGGGTGGTGAAACACTGGAATGCGTTACCTAGGGAGGTGGTGGAATCCCCTTCCTTAGAAGTTTAAGGTCAGGCTTGACAAAGCCCTGGCTGGGATGATTTAGTTGGGGATTGGTCCTGCTCTGGGCAGGGGGTTGGACTAGATGACCTCCAGAGGTCCCTTCCAACTCTGTTATTCTATGATTCTTTGTACCTACATTCTTAAAGTATAGGCCTTTGCAGACAGACCTGAATATCTATATCCTAACAATAGCTTGCATCATAAATTGTGTAAATCTTCATAATGATACTTCTCCACTCCACCCTGCTTTGATGAGTCATGAAATATTTTTAAATTTCAACATTTTAAACTATGATCATTGTCATCTGAATACCTCAGAGCTATTCTTGCAGAATCTCTGCAAGCTCATGCAGGCACTGCTCTATTAATTACTTTTAGGTTGTCACGTTTTCAAGGTTTTAATTGAAAGTATAACAACTAGGGACTTGCCCATATCTTTTTTGTTGTTGTTGTTTTTTTTTAAAGGCATCTAGTTCCCAAACTATGGTCTGCTAAACACTTGCTGGTGTTGGAGAGTTGGTTGGACACCTAGTGCTGGCTCTCTTCCTTTCCCTCTGAGAAACAGAGGAGATAAAATGAGGGACAAAATAGTCTGTGTAGTTGACCTTTTAGAAAAAAAAAATTAACACCTTCCCTGCATCAAAGGCAACTGCAAATACATAAATACTTGCCCAAGGATTTTCTGTGAAAGTATTTGCCATAGGAATGTATGACACGCTGAAGGTTAAATGCCACGATACCTACACTCTAGAAAACATTATCTGCATTGAGTTCACTCCAGTTGGAAAAGCAGAAGGCTTAACAATGCTGTGCAGATACAAAGAGATGCTTTCTAGCTACCCGGAGGAGGCACACTAGTTAACTTTTGAGATCACCAGACTGATCCACAAAGTGTTCAAAGGTACACAGAACTTTGCAAAAGCACATGTGGGTAACATTACAATGTTTAGCAACCTTTGGGAACTGTAGGGTCAAAACCTAACGAGGACCTTGGACACAGTGCCTTTGCATTAGTCAGTGATTACATTCCTGCACTAAACTAAGGGGAGAGCTGTGACACTCCGACTCAAAATAGCACCCTGGAACTCCCATACTCACCAGTGTGATGATATGATATGTTTTGTACAAAGTATGCCTTGTGAGGTATCATTTTAAAAGTCTTGATCTGTTGAACATTAATATCTTTTTGAATGGTATGTTCTATAATTATATGTGAAGTTATGAAGTTTTGCTATGTGTGTGATACTGAAATATGTTGTGAGATTGGAAACACCCACAGCCAGCTTTTCAGGTACAGCAATGGAGTAGCCATCGTTAGCCAGACAGCATTAATGGCTCATCAACACCCATCAAGGAAAGAATCCACTATCCCAGAGACTTCTCAGAGAGAGCATGTATGAAATGGAGACTGCTTGACCAATGGGGACTGCCTGAGCCCCACATCATAGCTAAGATTTTTCCAGCAAGCTGGAAGACAATATAAAAGCAGGGAAGTGACATCATCACCTGGCCTCACATCTTCCCCTCCCTCTCCTCCTCCCCTGCCAATACCTGGAAGACAAAGACTTTGAACTGGGGAAGGGTGGTCGCAGGCTGGAAAAGAGTCCCACTCCGTGTAGTGAGGATCTGTGACCTCTTTGTAACATCTGTTAGGGTGAGAAAAGGTGTATGATTAAACTCTTGCTAAAAGTTTAGGATTTAGAATGTATGTTTACTTTTTACTTTCTTAAGGTAACTATCTCTGACCTGCATTTCTATGACTTATAATCACTTAAAATGTATCTTATATTTTACCTAAAATAGTGTGTTTTGGTTGAAGTGCTTGGGAAATCTCAGCTCAGTTTACAAAGGCTAGTTTGTGTCTATTACACACTGAGTAAGTGGCAAACTGGGTAGTGGATGTATGCAGGCTTCTGACCAATGCAAAATGGTACAGTTCTGGGGTGCAAGACTGGGGAGCTCGGGAAAATTGGCTGGAGCCTCTCTGTTGATGGTTCTGGAGTGGCTGGGTGGTCATTCATATAACACAGGCATGCGTGTCCCTGCCTGTGGATGTCGGTGTAAGTGCAGTGTCCGTCAGAGGCTTATCACAGTGTGAGGGCCATCCCACGTTGGTGGGACAGAGGGCTCAGTGGTCCCACAGTCCAGGCTGCACCCCAGGGACCCTGACACAGAATGTTATGTGATTATGAATGGGAGGAGAGGTGGCTCATGTGATCACAAATGGTTCACACTGAGAACCTCCCACTTTAGGACTTTGAGATAATTTGCTGTCAACTAACACTGGTTCATCATGTGCAATATCTTGCCACAAACAATAACTGCAAGCCATAAAAGGTTACACATCGGCTAATGGAGCTTTCACATCTTTGCAATTAGTCCACAAACCTCATAGCAAACCCAATTTTTGTGACCACAGATACACAGATAAAAACAACAAAGACTCTGGTCTACCTTTATGTGGTGCTCTAAAAGTCCCTCAGTGTGCACCTGCTAGACCATGGAAACCGAGCTCTGAATACTAGGGAGATTTCAAGGAAACTGACTCAGTGACAAAGGTCTCATATGCAATAGCTCCAGCCTGGCCATTGTTGACAAGAAGATGCTTTCAGGCTTTGTAGCTATCAGATCCTCTCTGTGCAAGGTAGAGAATGGGAGCAAAGTGAATAAGCCACCCTGTAGGCAGCAAATGTTACAGGTTATTACAAGATGGGCTGGTTAAAAGGGGTCTGAGTAGCTAGCATGGTTGTCAGCCACAGGAGAAACAGTACAACCACCTGGTTCAGAGTTCTAGCTACTTTATCAGTTGTAAACTACCAGTTTTATACAGAGCCAACTTCCTGCCTCTTTTGGATGAAAAGCTCTATATGCTAGATGACTTGAGAGCCCATTACAGCTTTTTATACTGCATGTGCAGTGTTTTCTTGTTCCTCAAGCAACTATAATTGTCTTGCTAGTCAGCTCCTCAGATAGCCTTTGGCCTTCCTGCCTAGCTCCAGTCCCTGGCCAGTCTTCATTCATCCAGTCCCTGCACTCTGACACCAGACCACAGCCATTGCTACTCTATGACGTCATACCAGCTAGGGGGGTTCTCACAACAAAATTTTTGGTGGCCTCAAAGTGTGGTCACCAACTCTTGCTGGTGGCCCCAATGACAATTTCCCCCAAAATACTTAACTTCAGAAAAAACAATAAATATGCACATTCTTGTCCACATCCTTGTAATTTATGTATGTAGTGGGAAGGCGGTAAGAAGTAGAGCACCCCATTCAGCACACCTGACTTTGCTCCTATTCTTGTGCTCATCACATGTCACAGAGCAGGAGCCCCTCACCCTGCTGGGGAAAGCTGCCAAGCCCTGCAGCAGCCCAGGGCCATTGAGCTGCTTTGGTAGGGACAGTAAATATAAACAGTAACTAAGTGCAACCCCAGGTGTGGGAAGTACCGACCCATCTCTCTGCCCCTGCCTCCTGTTGCCCTTCAGTGAGAGCCTGCCCTGGAGAAGGTAAGTCAGAAACTCACCAGCTGCCTGTGGAGTCCCAGGCTCCCCATGCCCCAAGCGGGTGGAAGCAGGGGAGCTTCCTAGGGGAGCTCCCAGGTAATGAAGCATTGCAGCCACCTCTACTGACAAGAGACACCTGCAGCACCGCACACGGGCCCCATGTGTCTCCAGAGGTGCTGCCCAGAGCCCCTGAGGAGGCTTACAGGCACCAATCCCTGCTGGCAGCACCAGCACAAATACCAAGGTGGTGCATCTTGCTGCCCTTGGTAACAGCTATTCAGGAGCAACAGCTGAGCACTGCAGGGAGGGGCCCCTGCTCCCCCCCCAAAAATCTTTGCCCATGCTTTGGAGACTGTCATGGCCACACAAAAAAACTGGTGGCCGCATTTCAGAAATGCTCTGCTAGTACCACTCCTTCCCCCAGTTTACAGCCAACTCCTCCCCGTGTCTTCCTTGGCAGTCTTCTCGCTGTCCATGTTCTCCCCTATGACAGAGTACTAGGAATCCACACCAATTGAATCCTGGGAAGGTGGGTGTGCACAAGCCCACCCACAGGTGAAGGCCCCTCCCCCAGCCTAGGGAGAGTAGCCACCAAACTCAAGGTTCAACTGAATACAGGGGACAACAAATGAAGAAACAGGGATGGGGGTCACAGGGTCATAATAAGGGATCCGGAGGGGGACACTGAGCAGAGAACCTGGACAGCACCCACTGCTCCTCAAAGGTGTCTAGGGAGCCAGTAGATGCCGCCCAGAGGAACTCTGTCCAGATGCATGAAATGAGGGAGGAATGGAAGTAGGCCCTACAGTCGCAAAGCACCCCCTCAGACAACATCCTCTCTCTGGTGTTATAGATGGCCACTTTGGCCATCTCTAGGAGGAGATTGATGAGCAGGTCTTACGACTTTGTGGGAACACAGATGGGGTGTGCAATACATTAGAAGGTGGGGAGAGAAGTGCAGCCAGAACTGCAAAAGTAGGCCCAGGAGGAGCCAGAAAAGGGGCTGCAACCTGACAGACTCAAGGTATGCGCCAGCATCTCCCTCATGCCTCAAAAGGGACAGGCATCGGGGACAGGAGTGAATCACGCCACGTACACACCAGTGCTCAGGGCTTCATGAAGGAGCTGCCGACTAATATCGCTGGTGGGCCGTGGGACCAAGTTGGAATAGAGACTGGCCCACCGGGGTTCCTCACCCTCAGCAGATGGCAATAGGTCCCACCACTTAATATCAGGGCAGAACACGAGGGTGAGGAAATGGAGAATATGGTGTATGAGCGTGTTCAGATGTGCCCTTGGTGGGGTTTGGAAGCGAACCAACTGCAGGCTGCGCAGCTGGCTGAAGGTATGCAGGGGGAACAGCCAGGGGGGCTCACGGGGCAGGGGCCCAATTAAAAGATCTGGAGGGCCAGGAGTGAGGGGTGGGCTGGGAGCACCCTCTCGCAGGACCTGCTCAAGGTAAGCTGGAGAGGCGAGCAATGCTGGGAACCTACAGTTAAAACCAGCACTCTGATTAAATGCCAATTAATTCCTCCTTCCCCACAGGGACTTAACTGTGCCTAATTAGCAGAAGTAGAGTAGAAGATGGCATAGGAAGGAAGAGTCTCTGGCTGGAGACAGATCATCCCTCTCTACTCCTTAGTAAAGGGATGAGAAGTAACAAATGCTGTAAATAATGTGGTGTGTGGGTCAGTAAAGGTGAGATAATGTAAATAAACTCCATAGTGGTGTTTAACAACTGCAGGTCTCTGAATAGCCTGGGTAGACAGAAGAAGGAGTGTGACCTCACCCTGTCGTATCCCCCATCTAAGGGCATGTCTATGCTACAGCTAGGAATGAGCCTCCCAGCCAGGTAGCCAGACCCACACTAGTGGGACTCAAGCTAGCACCCTACAGCAATGTAGACAGTCTGGTTCAGAATAGATTTCAGTGTCTCAGCCCTACGGGTTTGCTTGAGAGCCTGAGCTCTTTTTTGAACCAGATCATCAACATAACGTGTAGTGTGCTAGCTGAAGCCTTGCTAACCTGGGTATGTCTACCCAAACTAGGAGGCTTGCTCCCAGCTGCAGTGTAGAAATACTCAGCAACTGCTCCATTACACCTTAGCAAGTCTGTCAAGTGACATCTCTCCTCTCCTTGGCTGACCCTGCAGCTCCTTAAACTAGGACAGGTTTCCTTACGACCCAGCAAGTTCTGCCACTCCCTATTTCAAGAAGAACTCTGTGCAAGCTTGAAAGCTTGTCTCTCTCACGAACAGAAGTAAAATAAAATATATGACCTCCTCCACCTTGACTCCCTATCTCAGGCAGTTCTGAACAGAGTTAAGCAGGTCACAATGGAAACTTTAATTACTAATTGCTTAATACTTAAACAGCAATCATCAGACAATGAAAACACAAATTATCTGACACAATTGTGTCATTTGGGCACAGCTCAGGGGAAGAGAAGCTCTGCACTGCCCTGGAAGAGGTCTAGGGGGAACATACGGGTGGCTACGTTCCCTTGTGGAGCACACTTTGCTGTTTCTGTGTACTAGGGAAGGCCCTACCTCCTTCTCACCCCTCCTTGCTTCTCTTGGGGCACTTTGTGACCTCAGAGGTGTATGGCAGGAGTGGTCTGGGTGCTCCCCCAAGTGATGATGATTGTAATTTGTCCTTACACAGGCTGTGCAAGAAGGGGAAGGCCACACATACATTCATGTACAGGCCAGGCATGTAATCCAGGACAATTAAAACCTTAAACACTATATGGAGAACCAGTCCATAACAACGGAAGTTCATAAACTCTTCTAGAACATAAGAATGGCTGTACTGAGTCAGACCAATGGTCCACCTAGTCCAATATCCTCTCTTCTGACAATGGCCAGTGCCAGGTGCTTCAGAGGGAGTGAACAGAACAGGGCAATTTATCAAGTGATCCATCCCCTGTCATCCTTTCCCAGTCCTAGCATTCTAGCAGTCCTAAAATATCCTACCTGTGAAAGCTCCCTATGTTAGTGTGCAGAGCCCTCTCATATAGGTGTATGTGTGAAGTTTGGAGTGCTTAAATTTATCCAGTATTCAGAAAGTCAGAAAAGAATCAAACTATTGTAAAATTTAAAATGCAGCCATCTTCCAGTTTCCACATTCTCAGGAAAAATTCTGCTAAATTACTCTGTGCAAATTTAAAATAGGCTTTCCATGAATACCCAGGTATGTGTGTATAAAGCTCAGTATTTGTGATTACTTGTGAGATTAAAAGGCACTCAAGTGAATATCTGCAGAGAACGCACATAAATGGGACATAAGCCAAGCTATAGAGGAACCATTCTAAAATTCAAACAAATAAACTAAATCCAAAGTCTAACTATAAACACGAACTCAAAAGGTTTGATGACTCTGTGTTTAGGGGATCTGAATTTAACGCTTGTTATTAATATTACTTCATCTTCTTTTTTATTTTATAGCTTTAAGAGGATCATAAGTTGATCTGTATAGAAAACAAGAACAACCATGTCCTCTTCTAACTGGAGAGCATAAGTTGTGGGAAAATCACTCTCCTTTTTATAGTGTCTCTTGTTTGGGTTTGGTTTGTTTGATTGTTTTTGTTTATGTTTTTTAGAGTTCTTTTGAGAAAAGAAGCATAAACAAGTACACTAAAGTGGGTGAACAAGGATCTCGTTGGCTGGATGGGATTAGCTAAGGGGAGATCAATTTGTTTGGACCCTAACTTCATTTTGGGATCCCCTCTGCTCATCCCAGTGGAAAATAATCTGTATTCTAAGCACCCAATTTTGATGCAGTTCCTTCCTTTCATTTCCAAGTCTCACAGTAAGAAATCATTTTCTCGATCTCAGTTGAGCAAGAATGTCCTGTGGCCAACGTTACATCAGCTTTAGTGCTTATCTATGGCCTGGTCTACACTAGGGGGGCGGGATTGATCTAAAATACGCAACTTCAGCTACGAGAATAGCGTAGCTGAAGTCGACGCGTCTTAGATCGACTTAGAATCGCTTACTTTGCATCCTCGTGGCGCAGGATCGATGGCTGCCGCTCCCCTGTCGACTCTGCTTCCGCCTCTCGCCGTGGTGGAATTCCAGAGTTGACGGCAGAGCGATCGGGGATCGATTTATCACGTCTACACTAGACGCGATAAATCGATCCCCGATAGATCGGCGGGTAGTGATCGATCTGGCGGGTAATGTAGACATGGCCTTAGACTACTACAGAACAGGTAGTTAGCCTTGTTGCACCTGTGCCAATTAAAAAAAAAATAGCAAACTACTGAGCACAACTTTAGCAAGAGAGAAGCAGCTGATTTCCTTAAAATTACTGCATTTCTTCAGCTATTTCCTGGGCTTCTGATCTAGTTTCTGCTTCTGTATCCTAGTGAAGGTACATATAAATCAGAATTCTGGAGTCAAATGTGCCAAAATGTTGTAGGAGTTCGGATCTGAATGCAGACTCTGTCACTCAATCCTGTCTCAAAGCCACTCTTTTTACTCCCTACATAGCCCAATAAGCCCAGAGAGTTTGAAGATAGATAAAAATTAAGTTTATTTGGGGTCAGGATGGCCACTTCTCTAGCCCCACAAAGTCCTACCACACTTCCATTTTCTACCCTCCTGGATTCTCTTCCTCAAAAGCCACCTCCCATCTCTACAATGCCCCGAAGAGCGTTTTAAGATTTCTCCTTAATTTTCACACTTTGCCAGCTCCTGAGGTGCCTATTGAGAACAAAGCTTTGCCCCATCACACCCTTTCACTAGACAGATGGGGTGGGAGGGGGCCCACTTGTCCACAATGCTGCCACTGCACAGCAGTGACTCAGCTCTGTGCTTCGCAGAAGTCTGGGCTGTACAACAGAGTTAGGTTGACATAAGGCAATTTACATCAGCCTAACTGTGTAAGCATCTACACTAAAATGTAGCTCTCACTGATGCAACTCTCCCACTACACCAACTTAATAACTTCACCTCTGCAAGAGGCGTGGTGCTTAAGTTGATGTAGTTAGGTTGATACGGTGTCAGTGTAGACAGTGCATTGCTTACATCAGCTGTTGCTGCCTTTCAGAAACTATCCCACAGTGCCCCACGGTGGCAGTTAAATTGGTGCAAACGGTCTTGGTGAGGACATGCGTCACCAACACAAGGAGTGCAGTGTGAATATGTAAAACTGATTCAAATACTGTGGTGGCTGTATGTTGACATAACTTAGGTTGACTTAATTTTGTAGTATAGACTTGCCCAGAGTGTCATCAGGGCCTGTCTTCAGAGCAGCTCAAGAAGTACAACTATAATTAAAGCATGAGACAGAGTCAGGCTTATGTTTTGTTCCTGGCTGTGACACACTCACTTTGTGGCCATGACATGGTCATTTCCCCTCACTGGGCCTTGGTTTCCCAATATGTAAAACAGGATATTTGCCTACCCCCCAGGAAGGGTTGTGAGCCTTAACTTATTTTTGAGAGCCTCAGATAGAAGGCATTGTAAAATTACAAAGTATTATGGAGCTCCTCTACCTCTCAACAAACTAGCACAAAAAATAGAATGTAGCTGTGGCAACTGGAGCAGTGGGAAGAGCTAGCTGCCCCAAAGACGATACCTAGCATCTCTGATGGACACATATGTAGGGTAGCTAGCCCCTCCACCACTCGCACTTCTGTGGCTTAACTGCCTTCAGCATGCTGGGTTGATGGGAGCTAAAGCAGTTATGTCTCTCTGAGCTGAGAATCACAGCCCCCACCTCTAAGTGTGTAGACCAGGGGTTCTTAAACTGTGGGTCAGGACCCCAAAGTGGGTCACAACCCCATTTTAATGGGGTCGCCAAGGCTGGTGTTAGATATACTGGGGTCCAGGGCCCAAGCCCTACTGCCTGGGGCTGAAGCCAAAGCCCGAGGCCCTCCCCTTCCCCCACCCAGGGAAGAAGCCTTTGGGCTTCAGCTTTGCCCCCCGCACTCGGGGCGGTGGGGCTCAGGCGGGCTCTGGCTTGGGTCCCCCCTCCTGGGGTCATATAGTAATTTTTCTTGTCAGAAGGGAATCACGGTGCAATGAAGATTGAGAATCTCTGGTAGACATATCCTGTGTGCCTGTGCATTCTACCCAAGCTGTGACATCACAGATGGCATCAGTGCTGGGTGTTGTGCCAGTCCTTGGGGTGGTTCCACTGGAATTTATCAGTCACTGACCACATGTTGTTGAAGCAGTAGTGGTAAAACTGAGTTCACACTGGGACATATATATCTTCCTTGTTCCAGATAAATATGCTGTCAAGGTTCCTCCCCCACTCTGAACTCTAGGATACAGATGTGGGGACCTGCATGAAAACCTCCTAAGCTTACTTTTACCAGCTTAGGATAAAACTTCCAAGGTACAAATTAATTTTATCCTTTGTCCTTGGAATAACCACTGCCACCACCAAACTAACTGGGTTTACTGGGAAACGTAGTTTGGACATGTCTTTCCCCCCAAAATCCTCCCAACCCTTGCACCCCACTTCTTGGGAAAGGTTTGGTAAAAATCCTCACCAATTTGCATCAGTGACCACAGACCCAAACCCTTGGATCTGAGAACAATGAAAAAGCATTCAGTTTTCTTACAAGAAGACTTTTAATAGAAGTAAAGGAATCACCTCTGTAAAATCAGGATGGTAGATATCTTACAGGGGAATTAGATTCAAAACATAGAGAATCCCTCTAGGCAAAATCTTATGTTACAAAAAAGACACACAGACAGGGATAGTCATTCTATTCAGCACAGCTCTTTTCTCAGCCATTTAAAGAAATCATAATCTAACACATACCTAGCTAGATTACTTACTAAAAGTTCTAAGACTCCATTCCTGTTCTGTCCCCGGCAAAAGCATCACACAGACAGACACAGACCCTTTGTTTTTCCTCCCTCCTCCCAGCTTTTGAAAGTATCTTGTCTCCTCATTGGTCATTTTGATCAGGTGCCAGCGAGGTTACCTTTAGCTTCTGAACCCTTTACAGGTGAGAGGATTTTTCCTCTGGCCAGGAGGGATTTTAAAGGGGTTTACCCTTCCCTTTATATTTATGACATATGCCCTTTCTGAATACAGCACAGCCTGTAGTCAGGCTTCCTGCTGACACCAGTAGATAGCTGGAAAGGGTAACAGTGGGTGAAATGCTAGCTGGGGAAGGGGAAGGAAGTGGTAGGATAGAAGGGTGAATGGTGTAGAGAGAGAGTAAAGATGGATAGATAAGATGGTTGTAATACCGTGGGAAGATGTCCACCATAATATTCCCTCAAATTTTTGATATCCATTTGCGGAATTAATTTTGTTATGTGCACCAATATGGAGGTGATGAGTGGTAGAGGTGGGGCCGAGGGGTTCAGAGGGTGTGAGGGGGTTCAGGGCTGGGGCAGAGGGTTGGGGTTCAGGGGCATGCGGGCTCTGGGGTGGGGCCAGTGATGAGGGCTTTCGGGTGGGGGAGGGGGCTCAGGACTAGGGCAGAGGTTTGGGCTTGGGGTGCAGGGGGCTGAGGGCTCTGGCTGGGGGTGCAGGCTGCCCTGCCCTCTCTCGCCACAGCCCTGCATGCCCCAAATTGCTCCCCGCACACCCCTACCTCTCTCCTCTCCAGGCCCCTGTGGCTGTACACCTGAGTGGCCCTTGATAGCCTGCTGTGTAGCCATGCAGCTTATGCAACTTCAAGGGAACTTAGGTCCATCCTCTCCTTTAGACTGCTAACCAGGGCTTTACATTCCAGGTCTTTCTCTGGGTAGGCTGTGACAGAAGTTTAATCAGTACTGCCAGGGTACCTGTGTAATGCAATAAAGCCCAGAATGTGATAAATAAATGTCATCTCAGTGCTGGACTGCAATGCCATTCTGTTAATCAGAAACAAGCTATGGAGAAGAGCAGAAGGAGTGATGTGAGCTTAGTGTGTTTTGTTCAGATAACTCTCACATCTGCAGGAATATCTTGCTTTTCTAAGAGAAAGGGAGGGCATAAAGTCATCCTCTCAGCCCCACTGACAGAAGAGTGGCCCTAAAATCACTGATGTTTCCCAAACTAACTCATCCTGCTAATAAATTGAGACTCTGAGATCAGCTCCTGAAGTGCTGGCCTTCCCAGAGCCACACTGGGTACCATAGCTAGGGTTGATAGCAAAGCAGCAGGTGTTGTACAGCTATTTCACTGGCTCATCAGGAAGGAGAGATTTTCATTCTTTCAAAACTAATTATAATTTCTGGCATCAAAATAATTTTTATGGGTGCTAACACACCTTGCAATTGTGTAACTGAGGTAGTGGCAGAAGGTGTGGCCATTACCCCAGGCATTGATCAGATAAATAATATTTGCATGATAACAGGGGATAATCCACTGTCCAGTTACAGCAGAAGAAAGTGACTATATACAAATGGCACCATCTTATTCACTATATTGTCTATGCCTGAGATGGCCGATTTTACTCTACTTGGTGCTTACAAAGCAATCTGTGGGAGAGCAAGCTGGATGCTTTCCTGGCTCATGCACCACCCTCAGGTACCTGCTGAGCTCAGCTTGCAGAATCTCTATTTGCAGACATTGTCATGAAGCTAGAAAAGTATAGATGGATTTTCAGATCTCTGGCTCATTTTCTCTTGACTTTTAAATGGAGTTACACCAGGGCTGAATGTTCCTGAGGGAGGGTAAAGGTGAGACTCCATAATGTGAAATGGGGGCCCAAGGGTGCTGTGTGCTTGTGGGCTGGGTCTTTTGTTGGTTGGTTGGATTCTTTACAGAATGTTGCCCAGAATTAGAGATGGACTAACAATAGATTCCTGAATCCAAACACATCTGAAGTTTGGATGATACGCAAAATCTGAACCTAGATGCAAATTATACACATTACTTAGTTTTATAACAGATTGAACCCAACACTCTTAACACACTTGTGTTTGTGTTGTGTGTTTGAAAGCAAGCTCCAGATCCTAATCCTGTGTTTTAACCCCATCTCAAATCAGAATATAGCCTCACTATAAAATCAGATATTTCAGTTTGCTCATCTCTGTGGCCTGTGATAAACAGGAGGTCAGACTAGATGATCACAATGGTCCCTTCTGGCCTTGGAATCTATGAAATGTATTGTGAAAGAATCACATGGGCACTGTGTTTATTAACTATATGCAAGCCTTCTGGAGCATTAAAGATGATTAGAGGACTCACAAACTATTTAAAGGGATAGTACCCTATTTTTAAAAATTACAGCCTGTGTTTTTGAGTGCCCAATTTGAGAAACCTGATTTTTCAGAGGGGCTCAGTACCTGAAGCTTCTGTTGAGGTAAGCAGAATTGAGTGTTCAACATCTCTTGAAATCAGGTTTGTAGTCTCAAGTCGGACACCCAGAAGGATTGGCCACTCTTGACAATTTTGGCCTTAGAATGAATGAGGCAAAAATTATCCAGCCAGGGTATCTATTTTGGCACCTAAATGAAGTGGCCTGCTTTTTTAAGGTGCTGAGCACCTTCAGATGTCTTTGATTCTGCAAATCTACTTGTCGGCACCAGCAGCTCTCCAAGCAACCTTCTATTTGGGACACAGCCTAAACAATTCTGGAGCTGCCAGTTATGGTAAGTAGATTTCTTTTCCACACCCCAGCAAAGAAAACAGGATTGTGCTTCAACAGACTGAGGCTCCACAATGTGTACGAGTCCCAGGTCATAGCCATTTCATCACAGGCGGAGAACAGACCGATGGATTTTTGGACTCATTGACACATGATTCACAAAAAGCAATCCATTAGAAGGGTGTAGACAATTATTTTCTGAGGTATGAAGGGTGCCATGTAGCAGCTCTTCCAACAGATCTCCCTGACTGAGTCAGAAAAGTTTTGCCTTGAGGTGTACAAAGTGTTTGCAAGAAAGAGGTCTGGATAAGGCAAGAGTAGGGGGACTTCATTTTTTCCAAGGAAAATTAGGTTTAATCAGTGACCTTCAAAGGCATATCGTCACGAGGAAAAAAGTGTGTTCTTAATTTGAATTAGCTAACATGAGGTTAAAAGTTTAGTGAAGACAAGGCAATCTCAAGTTTTTACACGCGTTAGCTGGTTAAGTTAAAAACTTTTAGGGAGTCTAGAATCATAGAATATCAGGGTTGGAAGGGACCTCAGGAGGTCATCTAGTCCAACCCCCTGCTCAAAGCAGGACCAATCCCCAACTAAATCATCCCAGCCAGGGCTTTGTCAAGCCTGACCTTAAAAACTTCTAAGGAAGGAGATTCCACCACCTCCCTAGGTAACGCATTCCAGTGTTTCACCACCCTCCGAGAGAAAAAGTTTTTCCTAATATCCAACCTAAACCTCCCGCACTGCAACTTGAGACCATTACTCCTTGTTCTGTCATCAGCTACCACTGAGAACAGTCCAGATCCATCCTCTTTGGATGTGGGGTTAGTGCTAATGAGCCAATTCAATTAAGGTGGAAGTGGACTATTATCAACAGTTGACAAGAAGGGGTGAATACCAAGGGAGGGAAAATTACTTTTGTAGTGCTAACGAGGCCAATGCAATCAAGGTGGCCCATTTCCAACAGTTGACAAGAAGGTGTGAGTATCAGCACAGGGAAAATTACTTTTTGTTGTGACCCATCCACTCCCAGTCTTTATTCAGGCCTAATTTGATGTTGTCCAGTTTGCAAATTACTTCCAGTTCTGCAGTTTCTCATCCCAGCGCTCTAAAAAACCCACTTCGATGAGGGGCGTAGCTACCAGCACAGGGAGTGCGGCTCCCAGTTCTGGTGCACTGTCTACACTGTCGCTTTACAGCGCTGAAACTTGCTGCACTGGGGGGGGGGGGGGGTGTTTTTCACACCCCTGAGCGAGAAAGTTGCAGCACTGTAAATTGCCAGTGTAGACAAGCCCTTAGAGGATTCCTTCCTCTCCTTTTCTTTTTATAATGAGAAACAGTGAATGAGCAAATTCTGCTACTTTTGAAATAAATTGTTGTGAAAAAGCAACACATGAATTTCTCAGATGAGGTCTTTGTATTTTAGATATATGAAAGCAGCAAGTGGAGAAAGCACAAATATAAAATCCATTGGAAGAACGAGCAAAAGCTATGAATGACTTGGTAACATTCTGCATCTGAACTGAAACAGAAGAGGGCAGCTTGCCTCCCACCTGCCCCACAGCAACAAGGTAACTCTTCAACAGCAAAAGGTGTAGCACACAGACAACATAATGACAGCTTCTCCCTTCAGTTACATAGCTTCATGCACCATGCTCTTTTCCTGCAATTATCATAGAATCATAGAATATAAGGGTTGGAAGGGACCCCAGAAGGTCATCTAGTCCAACCCCCTGCTCGAAGCAGGACCAATTCCCAGTTAAATCATCCCAGCCAGGGCTTTGTCAAGCCTGACCTTAAAAACCTCTAAGGAAGGAGATTCTACCACCTCCCTAGGTAACGCATTCCAGTGTTTCACCACCCTCTTAGTGAAAAAGTTTTTCCTAATATCCAATCTAAACCTCCCCCACTGCAGCTTGAGACCATTACTCCTCGTTCTGTCATCTGATACCATTGAGAACAGTCTAGAGCCATCCTCTTTGGAACCCCCTTTCAGGTAGTTGAAAGCAGCTATCAAATCCCCCCTCATTCTTCTCTTCTGCAGGCTAAACAATCCCAGCTCCCTCAGCCTCTCCTCATAACTCATGTGTTCCAGACCCCTAATCATTTTTGTTGCCCTTCGCTGGACTCTCTCCAATTTATCCACATCCTTCTTGAAGTGTGGGGCCCAAAACTGGACACAGTACTCCAGATGAGGCCTCACCAATGTCGAATAGAGGGGAACGATCACGTTCCTCGATCTGCTCGCTATGCCCCTACTTATACATCCCAAAATGCCATTGGCCTTCTTGGCAACAAGGGCACACTGCTGACTCATATCCAGCTTCTCGTCCACTGTCACCCCTAGGTCCTTTTCCGCAGAACTGCTGCCTAGCCATTCGGTCCCTAGTCTGTAGCTGTGCATTGGGTTCTTCCGTCCTAAGTGCAGGACCCTGCACTTATCCTTGTTGAACCTCATCAGATTTCTTTTGGCCCAATCCTCCAATTTGTCTAGGTCCTTCTGTATCCTATCCCTCCCCTCCAGCGTATCTACCCCTCCTCCCAGTTTAGTATCATCCGCAAATTTGCTGAGAGTGCAATCCACACCATCCTCCAGATCATTTATGAAGATATTGAACAAAACCGGCCCCAGGACCGACCCTTGGGGCACTCCACTTGATACCGGCTGCCAAGTAGACATGGAGCCATTGATAACTACCCGTTGAGCCCGACAATCTAGCCAGCTTTCTACCCACCTTGTAGTGCATTCATCCAGCCCATACTTCTTTAACATACTGGCAAGAATACTGTGGGAGACCGTGTCAAAAGCTTTGCTAAAGTCAAGAAACAATACATCCACTGCTTTCCCTTCATCCACAGAACCAGTAATCTCATCATAGAAGGTGATTAGATTAGTCAGGCATGACCTTCCCTTGGTGAATCCATGCTGGCTGTTCCTGATCACTTTCCTCTCATGCAAGTGCTTCAGGATTGATTCTTTGAGGACCTGCTCCATGATTTTTCCAGGGACTGAAGTGAGGCTGACTGGCCCGTAGTTCCCAGGATCCTCCTTCTTCCCTTTTTTAAAGATTGGCACTACATTAGCCTTTTTCCAGTCATCCGGGACTTCCCCGGTTCACCACGAGTTTTCAAAGATAATGGCCAATGGCTCTGCAATCACAGCCGCCAGTTCCTTCAGCACTCTCGGATGCAACTCGTCCGGCCCCATGGACTTGTGCACGTCCAGCTTTTCTAAATAGTCCCTAACCACCTCTGTCTCCACAGAGGGCTGGCCATCTCTTCCCCATTTTGTGATGCCCAGCGTAGCAGTCTGGGAGCTGACCTTGTTAGTGAAAACAGAGGCAAAAAAAGCATTGAGTACATTAGCTTTTTCCACATCCTCTGTCACTAGTTTGCCTCCCTCATTCAGTAAGGGGCCCACACATTCCTTGGCTTTCTTCTTGTTGCCAACATACCTGAAGAAACCCTTCTTGTTACTCTTGACATCTCTGGCTAGCTGTAGCTCCAGGTGCGATTTGGCCCTCCTGATTACATTCCTACATGCCCGAGCAATATTTTTATACTCTTCCCTGGTCATATGTCCAACCTTCCACTTCTTGTAAGCTTCTTTTTTATGTTTAAGATCCGCTAAGATTTCACCATTAAGCCAAGCTGGTCGCCTGCCATATTTACTATTCTTTCGACTCATTGGGATGGTTTGTCCCTGTAACCTCAACAGGGATTCCTTGAAATACAGCCAGCTCTCCTGGACTCCTTTCCCCTTCAAATTCATTAACCTATACGTGTTTAGTCTTTTGAGAGGTTTGCATTTCTATTCTGTCTGAAGATATCAGTCACGAAGGGCATTTGACACTTGTTCCTCAGCTCTACCCTTAGGTTCACCCATTAGAGTAACTATTAAATACAAGGGCCATTTTATGTCAGTAAACATATTTGCAACATCTTCAATCTCAGGGCCTTTTCTGGACCTCTGCATTTTAATATCAGGACAATACGTTTCATCCTTAGTGCTCCCTTTTTTGAGCCCAGTTTCCATATTTTCTTAATGACCCTAACATTGGGTTGATGAATTCTGATACATTTGGGAAGAGTCTTCCACAGTCAGTAGTTTAATATTGCCACCAAAGAACTCAAGCTTTTAAAAATTTTGGGGGACAGCTACATCCTGAATGTCTTGTCTTTTCTTTTTAAGGGATGGAACTGCCTCTGCATCTGTGTTATGCCCCCTCTCCCCACACCAAATCATCCTGGGTCTGGAAGAAAGCATACTTTTTCGTACTTCCTTTTTACCCCCATAGTTTTGTAGCCTTTTCAGTACTTCTCTGTGGTTTCTTACCCATTCCTCTGTATCTCTCCCTAGTATCGATAGACCGTCCACCTAACTGATGGCACCATTTAACCCTGGGCATGCCAGACCCATGTTTTCCATACCCATGCAGGTGCACTGGCAATGCAATGGGAAAACCTTTCTTACCGGAACATAAATCAGAGAGCAGAGTGGCCCTGAGTGTTGCCACCTTAGGCCACAGTGTAAGGTTCACAGACCTTCCTTCAGTGCTGGCAGCTGAAGAATGGTCAGTACCATCTCCCCTGGAGGGCACATCATCAGCACTCAACAGATACTGTAATAGTAAGACAATCTCCAAGAATGATCCCACTTAGGAAACTGGTGCAATGTGATGGGGGGGAGGGGAGTGAAGAGGAAAGTTTGGTCCTTTTTCAGACAAATGATGGTTTTTTTACTAATATATGTGGTGTCCAGGTATTGTGGTGATGGAAACATTTAGAAAATGCTCTAAACAAATTGGATAAAAAGAAGTTTAATGAAGGGACTTAAGCAGAGCACAGAAGTAAAAAAATGTGCATAATTGTTTCCCACTATTCCACAGTCTACGCTGGCTTCCAGTTTATTTCTGGGTGAAGCTGAATGAGTTGGTTTCTTTTCATCTACAAAACCCTCATTGGTTTGTATCTTGGCTACCTTAGAAACGCTCTCTCCCCATGTGATACTCTGGCAGTTGCAGTCAGCTGGGTAGCTTGAGCGAGGAACCCCTGTTCCCCCCAGTTATAAACTAGAGGGGGCTGGCTGCAGGGCATATTCAATGAGGGATCCTTTGCACTAGAATTTACTCTCCCCTTGGTCTGAGAGAGTCAAGATGTGCTGAACATTAGAGCCGGTTGGAAAATGGGGAAAATGTTCTGTGGGGAATTCTGATATTTTGAAGTTGGTTTTTGTTCTGAATTAAAATGAAAAGGCCAAATTTAGTAATTTCTTGAAGGGAAATTCTGAACAATTTCACTTTGGAAACATTGATAATGTCAAATAATTTTGTTTCAATGATGTCAAAATATTATAATATAAATTATATATAATACATTTAAAATTAACATTTAATTATACTATAAAAATTGAAACAAAATTAATTGAAGTGGTAACGTTAAAACAAAACATTTTATCTCATCAAAATGAGACACGAATATTATCAAACGAAATAAGAAAGTCAACAATTTGTTTTCACTTTTTCCCACTGAAAATTCTCAACATTGAATCATTTTGCAGGAATGAGTCAATCAAAACTGCATTTTCCAACAGAAAACTGTTGTGTTGAAATTTTTCCAACCAGTTTTATTGAATGTACTCTCAGGCTTCTCCCAGGAGGTTTTCCCAGAGGGTGTGGTTGGAAGAGGGTGTGACGCTGCCAAACCAGGTACCAGCTCATGCCAATGCCCTGGCCTCACTGAATGCTTGCAAATGCATAGCAGGGCAATTCACTTGTGTATTAGTCTAGATCAAAATTATGATTAAATGTATGAGAGTGTATTTTGTGTTTAATCTTCAAGAAAGCTAAAGGGATGTTACTTGTATTGTTTTCACTTTTCTGTATCCCATTATAATGTAATACCAAACATTTACTCCTGTAAATTAATAACCCATTGGATGAGAAAGAAGCCTTGTGGAATGCAAATGAAGAACTTGAACAACAAAGTGCTAATTTCAAAGCAGATGGTCATTGTGTGGGACGACTGGAGGTCAAACACTCTAAATTCATCTCTCACTCTCCATCAGAGGAAAAGCCCACATGGGTAGTGGCCCTGTCAGTTTGTTTTCAGTGAGAAGAAGCTATAAGTATGGATTCAGGGAAAGATCCTTCATCTCTGGACTGTTTGGACTCTTACAGGGAAGTGTACCAGATGCAAAGCAGAGATCCCCGGAAACACAGGCCATGGGCACTGGTGCATGTTGATCCCGCCTATTCTCTGACTGTGGCACATAATAGTTTAGACCCGATGGCTGTAATACTTTGGTGTCGTTTCATTTGTTGGGTTCAGTGTGTGGGTGCTGAGTTGTACTGGTGGCCTGTGATGTACAGAAGATCAGACTAGATGATCTGGTGCTCCTTTCTGACCTTAAACTCTATGAAACACCACGATTACAAACTCAGTTTGTAGGGCCTTAATAAGTAAGTAAATGAAGAGTTGCCTTTCTTTCATCCTTATGTGTTTGAACCTCTTTTTAAAAAAAAATAATGAAGGATGTTTGGGATTTTCTTCCCCTTCCTTGTTGAATTTAACCACACCCTTTGTGCATGTTATCATTATCATCCAACATTCCAGGCCTACGACACAGCAACGTTGTGGGAGCTTTGTGTCCTGATGGCGCACACAAGCACTTCAGCAATGATACATGTTAACAAGCTGGAGCATCAAGGAATCTTCAGCTGATGACAAGCCCTATTGCAGAGAAAATCAGAGAGGCAAGCACAAGTGAGACATTAAGAGAATCAGGAAGTGGCTTGGCCTGTAAAAATGAATTAATTGGCAACACTGGAACTCCCCTAAGCTACATTTATGAAGCAACACCTGAAAGGGTGTGAAGAAAGGCAGGACAGAGGGAAATTATTCTATGCAAATTTTTTTTTTGTCTTTTCATTGGAATATGAGTGAGGAGGAGGAAACAGCCGTGGGCATTTAAAAAGCCAGAAGATATGCTCTGTGAGAGAGGTTCCACCTTCAACTTTCCCTTTTCATCTCCGTGGACGACAATGTGGTCAAAGATTTTTCTGAGTGTTCTTGTCTTTCATTTGACTTCGGCAAAATCTTATGGGCCGTAAGAGATCACATATTTGCTTTTACTGTATAATATTGCATTATTTTTCCATCATTTAATTTGTACTGGGGGCATTGTTGTATGATGCACTAAGACTTTTGTTTCTGGAAATTTGGGTTCAGATTGCAGTTAAAGGTGTGGCTGAAATGAATTTGGTGGATGTTTCAGTGTAGAGTGAATCTCTCTCATTTTCACAAAATTGGTATGAAATGTGATTTGTTTAGTAGAGATCCAGGACTAATAACAGGCACTAATGCAGATGAGGATTGAGGTGCAGCAGCAGAAATGAGGAGGCGGCCTAGGACTAGATAAGCAGACAGTGCTGATGGTCAGGAGTAAGGTGTATTGGCAAGACTGGGTGAGTGGTAGGACTGGAATAGCAAGGGGCACTGTAGGGGCCTCTCAGAGCTGTGCTGGAGTCTGGTGGTATCATGTGTTGCTTATGCAGCACCATAACAGTGCTCAGGGTTTTACAGAAATAGAAGACTTGGGGTAAAAATTTAAAAATCACTTCAGTGATTTAGGAGTCTAAGTTTCATTTTCCTGAGGGACGTATGGGTATAACACCCTATGAATGTTCATGGGACTTGGGCTCCTAAGCACTTAAGCATTTTTGAAAATTTTACTCCTGGTCTGTTCTCTGAGGATTGTGCAATCTAAGCCAAGCAAGATCAGTTAAAGATGAAAACAATAAAAGAAGTGGGAGGGAAGGGTGGGGCCAGGATTACAACAAAAATATGATGTGATTCATTTTAGGTTGCATGTCCAGTTTCTCAGTTCTGACTTTTATTTTAATGAAAGAACCAGGGGAGCAGGGGGAAGGCTAGCAGCAGAAGCCTAACCAAACAGAGGAGGGGCTTGGAGGGTGAGAGTGAGGATGCCCTGGGAGTGGGAGCCTGTTCTAACCATAACAGGCAGCATTTTTAAAAAAGGCATAATGGCAGGAGACAAAGGGAGCAACAAAGTGAGAGGGGTGGGAAGAGGATAGAGTGATAGAAACAAAAGCTGAGTTGGGTAGTCTCTCCTCCTGGAATAATCAAGTGTTGCATGCCAAGACTGAAGTGCATTTCCTGTGTATTATGGCAAATAAGTTGTGACATTTCAGTTCCTTTCTTGATGGAAATGTGCCCAGATCTACCACCACAATTAGCATTAACTGGTACTTTTGTCAATAGTCTCAGAAAATAAGCTCATGGCTGACTAGGCCACAGAAACAGAATTCTCTACTTGGGGATGGTCTGGTGGTTAGGGCACTAGTTGGGGACATGGGTTCATTTCCTTGCTCTACCACAGATTTCCTGTGTGACCTTGGGCAAGTAATTTACCTTCCCTGTGATTCAGTTCCTCATTTGTAAAAATGGGGATAACAGCACTTCCTTCTCTCACAGAGGTATATACATCCATTAGACAACATGAGACGCTCAGATACTATGGTGATGAGGGCCCGATAAGTATGATACATACCACCCCTCACGCTTGTCCCTCCAGTTCAAGTTTGAGGTGAGGGGGTGTGGAGAATCATCTAATAGTGGAATAGCTTGAGGGACAACACACTGTGCTCACTTAGGGCCTGATCCAAAGCCTATTAAACTGGAGTCTTTCCGCTGATTTCAACAAGCTTTTGATCAGGATTCCCAGTAGCCACTTAGAGCTAGTCTACACTGGCAACATTAAAGCACTGCCACGGCAGCACTTTAATGTGGCTTGTGTAGTCAGGTCAGAGCGCTGGGAGAGAGCTCTCCTAGCACTCTTTAAAAAAAAAAGAACCTCTCCACGAGGGGCGTAGCTACCAGCGCTGGAGACTTCCTGCGCTCAACGGTGTGTTTTTTCACACCCTTGAGCGAGGAAGTTGCAGTGCTGTAAATTGCGAATGTAGACAAGCCCTAAGTTTTTCTCCAAATGTATTTTGTTGTGCGTCCTGTCCTTTCTGCTGACTGACCTGGCTGTTTGGCTTTGTTTATCTGTAGTCAGTATGTCCTGGTGGTCCCTTCGGTGCTGCAGAGCATCTCTCCACAGAGCCTGTGTGTACAGCTCTACAACCTCAGTGAGCCACTGTCCCTGAATGTTCACTTGAACTATCATGACATCAAGACCACGCTATTTGAGGAATCTGTGACGGAAAAAAATTTCTTCCAGTGCAGAGAGTTCAAGGTATTTCATATTTTAATTCAACTAAAGAGAGACAAAGGGGGACACATCCCTCCTGTGGTCCAAACAGATCCTACTCTTGAAGAACAAGAGGAGAAAGGCTCAAGGAGAATGGGGATGGGAAATGAAAAACAAGACACAAGGTATGTCTACACTGGAGCTGGGGGCGTACATTGCAGCTCAAGGAGACATACACTAGTTCTGATCAAGCTAACACACTCAAAATAGAAGTGTAGCCACAGCGGCACAAGTCACAGGAGGGTATAGCAGCCCAGAGCACAATCTTGTCTGAACTCCCAGGTATATACTCAGGTGGCTAGCCCCTCCTGCTGTTCATGCAGCTGCAGCTAAACGGCTATTTTTAGCATGCTAGAGCTGGAAGTTATACCTCCAGTCTCAGTGTAGATGTACGCAAAGACAGACTGCAGGGAAAGGAAAAAAGAGATTAGAAAACGAGTCTGAAGAAGAAAAAAAAAAATCTATCAGAGTGTGTGGGGAGAAGGGGAGAGAGAGATCAGGGAGTGTGTCAGGGAAAGACATTTGACTTTCACCCCAGGGTGTAGGTGGATTTGACTCGATCTAGCTCATAACCCAGTTGGAACACAGAAGTCTCCTTTCTCATTACAGTGCAGGGCCAAAAGCCACAGAAGAGCCCATAGTTAGGTGATCCCATACGCAGCAGGAGAAGCACTTTAGAACTTGCTAATAGCCTGACAGCCCTGCACATCAATAGGGTCAATACACAGTAGTCCTGAGAGATTAGGAAACATTTATGCTAGCTGTTCTGTGTGTGGATTTGAACTGTGTGTGGAGTCCACAGCCTGGGGATAAAACTAGTGCCAATCTATAGCGTAGACTGTAAGGGGACATAGAGCTGGAGGTGTGATTTCCAGCTTCACTAAACACACACACACTAGCTTTGATTGAGTTAGCACACTAAAAAACAGCGGTGAGGCTGCAATGGCACAGGCAACAGCTTGGACTAGCTGCCTGAGTACAATCCCAGCTGAGATTCTCGGTCACCCACTGCTAGTATTGCTGTGGCTACGTTATTTTTATTATAATAGCTCAATCAAAGCTAGTGTGTGTGTATATGTTTGCCAGAGCTGGAAATTACACCTCCAACTGCAGTGTAGACATACTCTTAGAACTTGTTTTGTTGGCAGACAGACAATCTATCACCAGACTCAGCATGATTCACTTAGGGGTCATCACCCTCACTTGGGAACCCATCACATAGACGGACCCTAAAACACTTTCTGTCTTCGTTTTTTTGTTCCCTCCCAGGCTCCTCTTGCCACCTCTGACCCTTTGGCTTTCATCACTTTCTCTGCCAGAGGCCACACAGTCCACCTGTCAGAGAAAAGGTCGGTGGCAATTCAGAACTTGGACAGCATTGTCTTCATCCAGACGGACAAACCCATTTACAAACCTGGACAGACAGGTGAATGGGGGGGGGGGTGGTATGAGTTAATTATTGAACTGGGAGTGTGGATGTCAGGGGGCAGGGAGGTTAGGATGGAGTCTCATTGCTAAGAAGGAGAAGAACTGGAGCAGGATGTCCATAATCAGTCCCTGAGGTGGTCTCTGGCTGCAGCCCCAGGTAGGGATCATCAAAAGACAGCAGGGAAAGTAGCTTATTCATAGAATTTTAATGCATAAATAGCATTTATATGTTCCTAATTGAATGAATTTCCTCAGAGATCTTACGGCTTTCTGGATTTACAGAAATCCATCACTTCAGGAATATCCAGATCTTTTGTTGTTTATGCTTATCTGAGTCTGAGATTCGGATTCAGTCATCATTTCTACAGGGCGTACAATACAAAAAATAAAGAATAAAGACAGTGAGATGTGTCCAGAAGAGAAAATCAATTCTTCTTCCTACTCTGTGGTTTCTATCATTGAACACATGACTGGGTTTTCTTCTACTCTTTTCTTTTGGGGAATGCTCTGATGAAGAGGTGAGTCTTGGAGCATGACCTGAAGACAGCAAGCAGTGATGGATAGGTTTTTCCTGATTCATTTAGGACAGTGATACCGAGCTGTGTTGGTGCTGGAGAGGAAGGATGGTCTACTGGTTAGAGTGCTAGTCCTGGATTTGTGACATGCAGGTTCAGCTCCCTGCCCTACAACAGACCTCCTGTGTGACCTTGGGCAAGTCACTCAGTCTATCTGTGCCTCAGTTTCCCATCAACGGGGATAACAGCACTGCCCTATCTCACAGGGGTGTTGTGAGGATGAATACATTAAAGATTGTAAGGTGCTCTACTACTATGGTGATTGGGGCCATATAAGTTCCTAAGATAGAGAGGGCCCTGCCAGTCCTTCTACATTTCTACCTGGGCTATTCTCATGGTGATGAAGTCGCTCCCCTCTTTTCGGATGCTTCATATTTTCTGGAAAATACCTTTGGAGCAGAAACCTGTGGTGCTTCTTAATACAAGCAACATTTGTTTTGTTAGTTTGGAATAACCTCGTTCAGCCATATTTGAAATATCCAAGCATGATTAACTGCCAAGCAGTGTTCTACTCACCACAGGATGGCGCCTCCTCCTGGCCATTCTGGGGATTAGCTCTGCACAGCTGATACCCCTTCCTGCAGTTGCACTTCATCTCTTCTCTCTCTGTCTGCAGCCTCTCTCTGCCTCCAGGAGCAGCTGTTGCCTCTTTGTGACTTGGCTCTCCCTTTCCAGGGTATCAAAGTCTCTTTTTACCAACAGGCTTGGGCAGTCTTCCCATTCCCTGCCCAGCCAGTGCCACTTCCACAGTGGCTGGTAGGGGATCCCAGGTCTGTGCTGTACTCCGGATTCCAGCTCAGGGACCCTCTAATCAGCAGCTCAGGTCTGTTCCCTCCTGGACCTTGCTGGCTCTTTCCCTGAGCCTTTCCTACCTGTCTGGCTTCCACCCCCTCTGGGTTTGCCACCCTCCCAAGCTCTCTCCTCTCAGGATCTAACTGTAGGTTACCTGCCTCTGTAGCCTCCAGACACACCTCCCTTCTCACAGGGTGTGACTGAAGCTTACTTCCCTGCAGCCCCTTTCTGCCATCAACTCCCAGGCTTTATAGAAGCCTTGTCTGTTTTCTCACAGATGAACTTCCTCCTAATTAGCTCCCTCCACACAGCCTGAATCTCCCTTGTTTGCTGCTTGATTGGCTGATTGGGCCTGCCTGGCCTAATTCAGCCCTCTCAGAGTCAGTGTGCGGAGTACACCCCATCACACTAAGTACAGTTAATTTGTGATTTTATTTAAATGAAAGGGTTTTAATTGTTGTTGTACATGACAATAAAACATGTAGCAAATAAAATGATGCATGATAAACAGTTTGAATAGTCCACATTTGATTTAGGGTGGGAAAGTCAATTATTCTCTCTTCTTCCAAACTTCGAATAATTTTATCTTTAGATTTATCTTTCCACTGCCCCAAGATTTAAGTTCAGGAAGTTCAATAAATAATATGTGGGCTAAAATTACCCCTGGTATAATGGAGTAGAAGCTGAGAGATGATATGACCATGTGTGTTTACTTTTTAGATATATTTGACCCAAGCTGATACATGGAGGAAATACTTTAGTTGATTTTTTTTCACCAGTTAAAAAATAACATTCAAATACTTTTTGCTTCTCCAATAACTCAAAAGGCTTCTCTTTAACACTTCAAACTTTCCTTCAATGATTTGTCTGAAGAAACTTAGTTTCAAAACATATATTAGAAAATGGTATTCTGCTGCTAACGTTGTTCATTTTTTTTCTTTCCCCATCACCTCCTTTCTTTTCAGTGATGTTCCGAGTTGTCTCTTTGGATAACAGTTTCAAACCTGTCCAGGAGATGGTGAGTGTGACTGGGAGTCAATATTTTTCAAGGACCTGTTATAGATTCACTTAATCAGCCACTATCTGACCTTTATATCGGGAAAACAGGCTGAGTAGATCTCCTGATGTCTCTCTAGCGAATATACTCCTTGAATTCACATCACTAGTCACTGACCCACCTTTGTATGGGGGAAAGGGCCTGGGACATCCCTAGAGAACGCAGATCTGAAGGGGAGAGTCACCTCACCACTCCCCATATCAAGAGACTGTGGAAATCTGTAAATATTTTAGACTGTCATCTTCACAGACAGGTGACATTAGGGTTGTAACCTTAACCCACTGAACTTCTGGTCACAAGTTGAGATAGGCCTGAACGAAAACCTTGTGCCTTTTCTCCAAACTTGTGCACCCAGAAAACGAGCAGCCAGAGTCTTGCCTTATCATCCAGTTTATTTCTAAATCAGTAACTAATTTCCTTGAATTCTAACCGGTTTTTTTTTGCCCTTTATCTTTTTCAGTATCCCCTGATCATCCTTCAGGTAAGAGGTGCATCGTACCATAAACCATGACTTATTTCGAAGGACAGAGTTCTCTCAGCTTCCAGAATTGGAGTGTTTGCTTGAGAAATTGTCACCCTGAAAGCAAATACTCCCCAGTGCAGATGGAACCCATGCAGAATGTGTTGAGAATGAGTGTCAGGCACTGAGCATTGCAAGAAATTGTCAATAAAGGGTCCCAGGAAGGGAAGAAAAACCAATCCCCCTCCATAGGTGCATGAGTACTTACCATGTACACAATGCTTCCTGAATAAGCTAGGCCCCTCTATGGTTTTCTTTTATACAAGACAATCTGATTAGAAACAAAGAAAGGAGCAGGGTTTTTCATTTATATGATTGTGTATCAGCTTCCTCAGTATTATAGGGAGGAGCCCTGGTTATAGGAGATGACTGTGAGTCAGGAAGTCTAGATTCTTTTCCCACCTCTGCCACAGACTCTCTGTGTAACCTTGGACTGAACACCGGTGGCTCAGTATTCCCATCTGTAAAGTAGGGACAATAATAATTGTCTCCTGGGGTTATTTTGAGACTAAA